CCGAGATCGCGTCGCTCGTTCGTTAGCACCACCACGTGGTCCACGCCGCCGGTCAACGGCACACGAAGATCGGACCGCACACAACATGACTAAGAAACTAATAATTGTGGTATGTTTATTGAGATTATGCATTTGTCAGCAATATGATCAATCAGGAGGACAAGGATCTTCAAATGGAAAATATGGTGGCCCTACAGGAAGATCGTCTGGAGGGCCTAATAGTGGTGCTGGCATTAATAGTTATGGTCAAAACCAAGGAGGGCAAGGCGGATATGGAAATGGCTTCAACGGAAATAACAGAAATCAAGGCCAAAATGGACTTACTAATTGTGGTCCTAATCAAAACGGTGGCCTAGGTGGAGCTAACAATGGTGTAGAAGGCAATGGTTTTGGAGCAACTGGTGGGTATGGAAGTGGAGCTGGTGGACCAAGTGGTGGTTTTAACGGGGGTGGTAGCAGTGGAGGATATGGAAATGGAGGTTTTGGAGGTAATGGTGGACGGGGAATCAGTGGTTTAGGGGGAAGTGGAGGATATGGGAACGGAGGTTCGGGAGGAAGTGGAGGATACGGAAATGGTGGTGCTGGAAATAATGGCGGACGTGGAAATGGAGGCTATGGGGGGAGTGGAGGATATGGAAATGGAGGTTTTGGAGGTAGTGGTGGATCTGGAAGTGGAGGGTATGGAAATGGAGGTTCGGGGGCTAATAATGGGTTTGGAAACGGTGGTTTAGGAATTAGTGGTGGATATGGAAATGGTGGTTTAGGAGGTATTGGTGGTTTAGGAAGTAGTGGTGGATATGGAAATGGTGGTTTAGGAGGCAGTGGTGGTTTAGGAAGTAGTGGTGGTTATGGAAACGGAGGTTCAGGAGGTAGTGGTGGTTATGGAAATGGTGGTTCAGGAGGTGGTGGAAGATATGGGAGTGGAGGATCAAGTGGTTTTGGATCTAATAATGGACCTAATGGTGGAAATTTTAATCCAAATCAAAATGCTCCACCTGCTGCCAAAGTGAGTTTCAACAGCTTTTTCGGAAGTTCTGGACGAAATGGTCGTGGACAGTCTGGCGGACCTAATGGAGGTGGTTCCCGTGGATCCGGCAACTATGGTGGTCAGAACGGTGGAGGTTCCGGTTCATACGGTGGACAAAATGGTGGAAACTCCGGTTCATTCGGTGGACAAAATGGTGGAGGTTCCGGTTCATATGGTGGTCAAAATAGTGGAGGTTTCAACGGACAGAACGGTGGAAACTTCGGTTCATATGGTGGACTAAACAGTGGAGGTTCTGGCTCTTTTGGTGGTCAGAATGGTTCAGGTCCATACGGTAGTGGATCTGGGTCAGGACAGTATGGGGGTGAATCTGATAATAATGGATTTGGACAAGGAAATGGAGGTGGCAGAGGTTCTTCAGAGTCCTCGGGTCAAGGATATTAATAACAAATATTACTAATGAACATTGTAAATTTAAATTATCACTAATTTATTAAATTATTATTATGTTTTTTAAACTTAATCTGTGTTAAATGTTTAATTATGTATTATTAGTTCTTCTTCGATAAAATCTTATATAAAAACTAAACAATCAGTTGATTTATAACAAGTTGATGTCTCGTATTCTAGTATTTAAATATGAATGGATGAATTTATTAATCCTTAATATCAATAATAATAATAATAATAACTAATCATGACTATGGTACTGTGAAAAATCTTAATTTTTACAATTATATTGGTATACTGTAATAACCCGAAAATATCAAAGTAAAAATAATAGGAAAATAATAATAAGGGTGGGGAGATATGGTGTATAGTTTGTATTTATGTATAATGTATTATGGGTTAATTACCTTCCTCCTTGTTTAAGGGAGGGCTCTCGGGATTTAAAAAGGTTCGAGAGCCGATTAGCGCAACTGGATAGTCTGGCAAGCCAAATAAAATAGCTTTTACTTATATTGTAGCAGTTATTCGAATGTCAACGAGCTGCACATTTATAACTATCGTAGGAGTGTAATAAGGTTGATATGAGACAAACACAAGATTTGATGTGCTGCAGTTCGATACTTTTCAACAATCGCACAGAAAACTTAAACCAAAGAAATTAATTATAAAAGTTAGATATTTGTACACTGTGATAACTTATCGCAGGAGACTCCTTTACTAATTTGACATTCCATGCGCATGCACTGACGACCTAAGGTCAAGAGCTTGGGAAAAGAGTATTTTGTCCCTGTTATATAGGGGTATGGCAGGGTGTACTTTGGACTAACCGTTTCAAAATGTGATCTACTTATGATGTCAATGGAGTATTGTAGGGTTAGGCCTTTATTATTTGTGTTGTCCGTGTGGGTATCGAAAGAGCCGTAATTTATTATTTTTTAAAATGGTTTCAGATCATATGTTATACATTATTATAAAAAAGATTTGTGCAGTATTTTACAGTCAAATGATACACATCATTACAATACAAAATTCAGTATCTATAATAAAAATATAAGCACACTGATATCATCAAACATGAAAACTATAGGTACTGTCGGAATATTTCCAACTGCGAAGACCTTTCGATGGTAAAAATGTTTAAACTTAGTCAAGAAAAATTTGGACAATTTTTTTCCCCCAGCATGATCACCTTTTAAAAATTAACGTATTGAGTGCACTACCCATTATGCGGTTTATCCACGCGCGGACATAATTAAAAATTGCCTATAATTGCACACCAGTAGGTTTGTTCGCTTATAACCGCTATTTTAAATTATTTCTACCAACATAAAAAACCTCACCATCGTAATGACGAATCAATCGCTTGCTTAGTTTCAGTAAAAACTTCGTGGTTCATTTCAGCGATTAAATGGCGAACGTTTGTCTTAAATTAAACGTAAGCGATCCCTGTGGAACAGTCACGTTTAGCCAAGTCGAGCGACTTACCTGTTCGCGAAAGACACGTGTTCCACGAACATGACGGTTACGTAGTAATTGCCGGCCATCGACATGGTGCAGAGCATCGTTATGGCGACCGTTACGTAAACGTTATTCGACAGGTCGGACTGCATGCGCAGATGACCGTACTTAAGGTAACCGAACACGGCGGCGGCCAGGGCCAGCCACGCGCGGACACAGTAGTCGACGGGCCAACGGGGACGACCGCGACCGCGGCGATGGCGGTGGTCGGCCGCGACCATCTGCAGCGACCGTTCGACACGTGCCAGCGAGTGTTGGACCCGCCGCAACCGCGCCGTGTACAACGCGGTCAGCGAGGTGCTGATCACGCGGATGACGTTGGTCGACAGCGTGTGCAAGTGCCCGACCACGTCCTCGTCGTCCAACAGCGATCTCAGCTCGACGGCGGTCAAGTAGAGCTGCGCCGCGATCACCAAGCACAGCCACACGACGTGACCGTACACGGCCAACGCCATCATCGCACGCTATTAGACAAGACTTCTCGTTTCGCCGTACCGTACACTTTTACTGCTGCTCGCGCGTCGCACTGCCCGCGGTCGTGACACCGTCGTAAGAGGTTCGAGGACGTGCCGCGGACTTTTTCGAGTGATTTCCTTACGAACGAACAATGCAACGCACTCGACGAGTGTTGTGGACACGAACGCGAACCACTCTACGGGGTTGGGCGCGCTTGTTCGGCGGAAACGCAAATACGTCGCCTTCGGTGACAGCGCTCGCGATATGACACACGATACGTATTAATGTGTGTGCGTGTACGGGTGTTTAAATGTCAACCACTGATTGTAATATTGTTAAATATTTAATCGCTCGACCAGCACTCAAAATAATCGAATATTTTCTGATAGTACGGACTGGGCTGCATACTGAATCGGAAAATGCCAAATCGTACGCTCCTCACAAATGTTGTACAGCTATTATTGCATTGATACCTGTTGCATTAAAAGATAATAACATAATATTAATAATGTAATTGACCGTTTGATACACTTTTTAGTCAAATATTAGTCGACTGCGACTCAAAATATAAAAGGAGCACAAAAGTTGACCTGCTTTTTTAGGCATCGCATTTCAATGTACACTGTCCAAAAGAACCCGCACCCGTTACAACTGCATATTGTTACACGGCGTCACGGTTGACTTATGTACATTGGAATGTTATTGTCTATGATTTATTCATTATAATTAATTATGAGTTATGTACTCTATATACGTGGATTTAACTGCTAAACGTAGATTGATGATTAAAAATATATATGTATATAAAAATACACGAGAAAAATTCTTATTTATAAAACTATCCAGATACTCATACATGTATGCAATACTTACTTTAAGTACATAAAATTATAGGCATTAAGTTTAAATTATTAAAATTAATAAAATAATAATCATACATACATATAACAAAATAATAATAAAATACTTAAATAATTACGAATTTACCTTTTATTGTATACATTATGTAATAACATATGCAAAAGTGTAAAATATTTAGTATTTGAAAAAAAATCACAGTTTATTAGCAAATTGATTTTATCAATCTTCTAATTTTATTTTTCTAGGTTAGAACTATTGAGGACTATATAAATAATCACGATTATCAATCACTCCTAAAAGTCAATAAAGAATATAATATATGTCGTATACGTCGAACAAAATCATACGTATAGATACAAAAAATATAATTTTTATAAAAGTAACAATTAAAATAACGCATATGTTTCCGTGTCATACGACGACTACGGAAGAACCCCTTTATTGGTTATCTCCAGTGGCGGATCTAACGGTCGTTTAGTCGGCAAATGCCTACGGGGCCCCTAGCTATATTTAAGTATGAGGCCCCGTACATTTTTGGAAAACCCAAAGATTATTTTTTTGTTTTTTATTATAAAAATATGTAAATCAATTAATATAGTTTGTATTTAAAAAAATGTCAATAAGTAAATAGGAGAACAAATTAATATGACAGACAAAAAGACGGTGAGTGAGGAAGCCATCCAGTGATATAGGACTCTTAATGGAATACCCTATGTAAAAATAAAATGAGTTGATAATATTATTATTTTATTGTAATATTATCGTTGGTTGATTGTGAATAATCTAACGAGTCGGTAATCGGTATCTAAAATCTACTATCTACTATTTAAGGTGTAACTATCTAAAGTTTTAGATTAAACTGACCATTGATAATATTTTATATCTTCACAAATGTATTTAAAAATATTATCTAACAACAAACAATAACGATTTAAGACTATTTTAATTTGGTGATATTACTACGTGAGTACTGAGTTATGAGTTATCTTGTCTACCTTACTCTACACAAGTTACATTGATTAAATATATTTAACAGTATATTCAGTGGCGCATTTAAGGGGGGGGGGGCGAAAGGGGCGAATGCCCCGGGTGGCAAATTTTTGGGAGCGGCAAAATAACTTTTATTATTGATGTGTTCGTGATTTTTTTAATTTTCACACCTTTTTCAGTATTGTTTATTGAACCTAGTCACCTAGGTAATAGTGAAATAACAAAATAGTTATATTACATTTATTATTCGATAAGATATTATATTTTCGTCCGATGTTTATAATAAAGACTCGGGTACACAGAACGTGGTATTCACTTTAGAGCACATTTAAAAAGTTTACAAAAGAAATAAAATTGTACCTTAAAGTGTTCAATGTATGTTAGCATTAATAAAAGAGAATAGTTAAGTTGAAGTATATTCTTATATTGATATTGCTCTAAGGATGCTACTATGTATGTACACCTTCGAGTAATTGTTCAACGGAAAAATCATTTTCTCCATTAAAAAGGATCAAAACTTATTTAAGATCAACAACGGGAGAAAATCGTCTTAATTAATTAACAACCCTCAACATTGAAGCTGATTTAACGAAAACTATTAATTTTAATGATATTATTGAACGTTTTTCTTCTCAAAAGTCAAGAAAAAAATTATAAGCTATCGATTATTTTATTATATATAATTAATAATAAATATAATATATTTAATCTAATAAAAAACCATGTATTGTTAATTATTGTGCATATAATAAGTGTTAATTCCGTTTTCTATATTCAATATATATATATTTTAAGGAATATTCACTTTGAAAAAAAAAAATTAGGTTAACGTTAGGATATGTATTACTATAAAATTATTTAATAGAATATCGTTAAACAACTGATTTATAATTTGTTTCATAAAATTAATTTTTTTATTGCTTAACTTTAAATTTATTTATATACATATATATATATATATATTTTTTTTTTGTTTAGGGGGAAGGGCGGAAAAATTATTTTGCGCCGGGGTACGTATATATTAAATCGCCAGTGCGTATATTATACTATATAGTTTAAAATTATATTTAATCAATGCTATTTTTATAATTCTATAATTTTATAATACACAATATATAAATTGTATGTATAAAGTTTTAAATGCTATTAAAACTATTTTTGACATTATCAATCGGAAATGCTAGTACTGAACATGCAATGAGTATGCTACGAAGATTGAAAAACTATTTACGGTCAACCATGGTACAAAACCGTACGAGTGATTTAGCTTTACTCTGCATAGAGTATTACGATGCACTTAATCTTAATATGGATGAAATTATCGCGAGGATATCGATTGTCATAAAAATCAAAAAATAAAAGAATACATTTTTTTTAGTGTTGTTAACTCATTATTATAAAAGGAAAAACTTTTATTACATAAATATAAAAATACTAAAGTATTGTATTAAACATATATATAAACTTATTTTATGTGTATTATATTTATGACCAATTAGATGAAAAAAATAATTTATGAATTTGTGATTTTTCGGTTCTTGTGCATATCAAAACTTGTACTTACATAAAGATATCAGCACCTTGGCATTTAGCAAAAAAAAATAGATGCTAAAAAATATACTATTATGAGAGTCTATTTTTATCAGACACATGAACATTTTACACATATATTCGGAGGGCCTTTTTATGGTTTTAAGCTCCTGCCCCTAGCCCTCCTAATGTGTCAATGAATAAAGGTTAAAATGTAGCAGTTATAGCTCCCTAGATCGGGGTTCCTCGTATCAGTTTGCCGACCAATATTTTACTCTTAAATTCGCCACTGGTTATCTCTCTCTTATATACATTTAGCTATAATAATAATAATAATAATAATAATTATATAATAATTTGCTTACACTCTAATAGAAGAAAAAAGGTTGTTTTTTAGTTAAAAATGTTTATGCTAGCTTATTTTCTATTACAACATTAATATGATCTGAATGTGAATTGCCTAATATTACTACTGTTATTAGTATAGTTCTTTTTAACTTTAATTAATAAATTGAAATAATGGAGAGTGCTTGAGCCCTCATAGGCTGCCCCTTGTATCCACACCTGCATGTATGCAATGCGTTAATGATAAATTAAGATAAAAATAAGAACGGATACGCCAGCTGCAGTTTGGATAATAGACGTTTTGTATAATGGAGGAGGTTTGGATAATCGAGGTTTAACTGTATCTACACAATATATATGAAAGAAACTTATTATCTTGGCAGTTCTCATTTTTTTTAAAGAAATTAATAAAAATAATTAATTGTAAAAGCGGAATATTTTGAGATATCAGATTCACATGAAACTTATTCTGGTTCTGATTAATTATATTATTAACGCTTGAAGTTTCAATTGCAATGTTAATGTTGATAATAAATGTGATAAATATATATATGTATATAAGATATATTTTATATTTTTAAAAGTTGATAAATTCTTTCCAGTTTCTCTCAATCATAAAAGCAATTAAGATTTAATCTATTTTTGACAGTTATTAGGATACATTATGAATAAAATTCGTAAAGTGTATTAGATTTTAAATAAAGTACACATAATTATAAAAAAAAATATTCATTAAAAGAAAAAGTAAGGTTTATTCATATAAAACAATAATACAATAAACAAGTACTAAATTTATTATATTAATGATGCATATAACACATGCATACATATGAATATACATGATTATAATACTAATAAACATATTACCTCAGTTCTAAAAAATAATATAAAATTGTACATTTCACCAAAAAAATATATATGGGTGACATGTAATTTATACATTTAAATATAATTAACTCAATAGTGTACAGAAATATGTGTTAAATAAATAAAAAGTGAATTGTGCAAATGACAAAGGTCTGTGAATGTGCTAATTAATATTAGTAAAACTATTAATAGAATATTTTTCTTTATTTATATTTTAAATAAATAAGTTAAGACAAGGTTTTGATAGTAAGATGTTCATCAATTTGAGCAATAAAAAGTATTAATAAGATGATGATCCACTTCCTAAACTATTGCGATTACTACCATAAGATCCGCTGGAACTACCTGATCCTCCATACCCCCCTCCTAAACCTCCACTTGAACCACCGGATCCTCCATATCCACCTCCTAGACCACCACTAGAACTTCCTGATCCACCGTATCCACCTCCTAAACCACTACTTGAACCACCTGATCCACCATATCCACCTCCTAGACTACTGCCGGAGGCACTTGATCCACCATATCCTCCTCCTAAACCACCGCCTGAGCCACCTGATCCACCATATCCACCTCCTAAACCACCGCCGGAGCCACCTGATCCACCATATCCACCTCCTAAACCACCACCGGAGCCACCTGATCCACCATATCCACCTCCTAAACCACCACCAGAACCACCTGATCCACCGTATCCACCGCCGGAACCACCTAATCCACCTCCTAATCCACTACCGAAGCCACCTGATCCACCATATCCACCGCCGGAACCACCTGATCCACCATATCCACCGCCAGAACCACCTGATCCACCTCCTAATCCACCACCGGAGCCACCCGATCCACCATACCCACCTCCTAAACCACCACTGGAGCCACCTGATCCACCATATCCACCACCTAAACCACCGCCGGAGCCGCCTGATCCACCATATCTGCCACCGGAACCACCTAATCCACCTCCTAAACCACCACCGGAGCCTCCTGATCCACCATATCCACCGCCTAAGCTACCACTAGAGCCACCAGATGCACCATAACTACTACCTCCTAATCCACCACTTAAACCACCTGATCCACCTGATCCACCATATCCACTTCCTAAACCACCACCGGAGCCACCTGATCCTCCATATCCACCTCCTAAGCCATTTCCACTACCACTACCAGAACCACCATAGCTTCCTCCTAGACCACCACTTGAACCGCCTAAACCACCTGATCCACCATATCCACCTCCGGAACCACCTCCAAAACCATTTGATCCACCATAACTACTACCTCCTAAACCACTGCCGGAGCCACCTAATCCACCGTAACTACTACCTCCTAAACCACCGCCGGAGCCACCTGATCCACCATATCCACCTCCTAAACCACCACCGGAGCCGCCTGATCCACCATATCCGCCGCCGGAACCACCTAATCCACCACCGGAACCACCTGATCCCCCATATCCACCTCCTAAACCACCGCCGGATCCACCTGATCCACCATATCCACCTCCTAAACCACCACCAGAGCCGCCTGATCCACCATATCCGCCGCCGGAACCACCTAATCCACCTCCTAATCCACCACCGGAGCCACCTGATCCCCCATATCCACCTCCCAAACTACCAGATCCACCTGATCCGCCATATCCACCTCCAGAACCTCCTGATCCACCGAATCCTCCATATCCACCTCCTAAACCACTTCCACCATTTCCTCCATAGTTTCCTGAACCACCAGAGCCCCCATTACCACCATTTCCAGATTGTCGATCACCAGCATATCCTCCTACTGGATCTGTATACGTGATTTTTGGTTTGTATCCTTCTTCATCTGCTTCATATTCAACTATTTGTGTTCGACCATCTGGTAGTAATACATGATAAACTCCTGTAGCTTCATCGCCTTGACGACTTTCTTTATGACCAAAAATTGCACCGGATTCGGGTGCGTTTACTTCATAGGAAAACTCATAATTTGCAGGCTCCTATTCATACAATTGAACATAAATATATATTTTAATTGACTATATACAAACAAAAAAAATTGACAAAAAATAGTACATTTACTTATTATTAATAAAATAAATAATAATCAGTGCATTCGGAATAATTAGTATATCGTACATAAATTATTACAATTATTTATTGTATACTTTGTTATTATAATAAAGTATTTTACCTATGAATAATAAATAATTTAATAAAAATAATTTATTTTTATTGAGTCAGTTCAAATTTAAAAAAATGTATTAATATGATTAAAATTTTTAGTACTAATTAAATCTTATAGTAACAGCAACTTAAATGAAATTAAGTTTTAATTGAAATTTTTTTTTTTTTATATTTAATTTTTATTATATTATTTAAATTTGAGTTTCATAACATATTATTGCTGAAATATTAATAAATAATAATTCTTAGAATAAAACACGATATCCTAATTTTAATAATAGGTAAATTTAGTAAAATTTTATTTACAATAGTAAATTAATTTTTATAATTATTAGATATACTTTTGTGAAATCAAAAAAATTCATAAAATAAAATGATATGTCAATAAAATATTCCCTCAATTTGTACTTTTTTGTGCCTGTAATATTATTTATAGATTCTATTTATTTAGTATTACATCATTACTTATTATTGTGCATGATATTTTTTTTTATACAGCAATTTTAAAAATAGTTTATCTTATATCTTTAATATTGCGTAATTTTAAATGATATCATCACGTTATTTTTTTCACATATGTTTATTGTTTCAATTCATCTCGACTGAATTATAATAAAGATTCTTTGAACACGAAGACTATAAATACAAGTCGTGTGAACCGAATGAGTGTTTTTATTTGAAGTCACATTTGTGTAATCTATCCTGTTTTAATTTCAGTTATACAACACATAGGTTGATAAAATTGTTTAGAGTGAATCGGAATTCTGACGAATAATCTGGAGTTTGTTATAAATAATGAGCAAAAGTCATATTTTAAAGCATTTGCTAATTATTATAGAATACAGATAAAATAGTATATTAAGTTATAAATTTGTTTTATGCACATGGAATTCTAAATATGAAATTTTATATTGTTATTTATTGCATATTTGAAATATTTTAGATATTTAGTGCTATTTTTTAAGTGATGGTGCTATTTTTTGCTAATATGCATAGTACGAGTATAATACTTCATTTTTCATAAATCTCGTTTATATTGAATAAAAAATAGATAAAATTTTTCGTTTATGTAATTACGAGTATATAAAAAAAAAACCCACTGCTTCGTTTCATATTTATAATATGATATTAATTATATTTTAGGTAGCTTAACTATATCGAATATTATTTATTTTTAACATCTCAACGATTTTATTTATATTTATTTTATTATTATTTAGATTGTAGAATGTACTGTTGACCTGTCATTCGGGTATTTTAGTGTAAGGCAGTTCTACAAATTGTTTATTTACGTTTATAAACTATAATCGTTTAATACTATACTTTTTTTTTTTACCATTTTAATGCTCTTAGGGTATATTATAGCTTATACTTTAAAGTTTTTTTGGTTATTTTATAGCGCATATTTCAGTACTTTTTGTATTGTAAAATCCAAGTCTTGATAATGATGTTCAGTATGATATATTCCAAAAGTAACTAAAATATTTTCAATACATATAAAAGGTAATATTTAAAACATATACATTTATGTGATGATTTTTCAAAATATTGTTGATGAAATATGTTTTATACCATTAAAGTAGTATTTTATTATTTGCGAGTGTTCACGTTTTTAAATGTTTAAATAAAATCAAAATTAGATTTGTTCATAGTTTGATTAACTAATTTTACTAAAAGTTAAAATTTTACCTTATTTTTAATTTTAATTTTTTAACTACAATGTAATTCTGAAGGTCTGATACTATGTTTTTTTATATTACGAACGATAATGTATTAATAATGATATAATATTTTTATAAGAATATTAGTAAAGTTTTTGTATTAAGATTATTGATTTTGTTTAAAATGTCTATGTTTCATATATCAAAATCTATAGATTTGCAATATATTAATATTATTATTTATTAAACTAAAGATAAATAATTTTTATTATTAACTTACAGAAAGTGGATCGTTTCCTGATCCTCCAAGTCCGTTACCATTGGCTCCTCCAAATTGATCGTAGGATCCAGAACTTCCACCTCCGTAACCACCATTGCTTCCTGAGGATCCTCCACCAAATCCTCCGGCACCACCACTACCATAACTGCCAGACGAACCTCCGCCTAATCCTCCAGAAGATCCACTTCCATAGCCTCCAGATGAACCTCCACCTAATCCTCCTAATGATCCACTTCCGTAGCCTCCAGATGACCCTCCGCCTAATCCTCCAGAAGATCCACTTCCGTAGCCTCCAGATGATCCACTGCCAAAACTTCCAGATGATCCTCCTCCATAACTTCCGGATGATCCACCACCAAAACCTCCTAAATATCCATATCCATAATTTTCTGATGTTTCATTAGAACTTACTAAAGTACCTGAGGAACCACTTCCGTAGCTTCCCGAAGATCCACCGATACCACCTAGGCCACCCGAAGATCCACTTCCATAACCGCTTGCTGATCCACCACTTGAAGATCCACTGCCATAGCGACCATTGTTACGTGAACTAGATCCTCCGTAGCCTCCTTTGTTACCTCCAAACTTTGATCCAGAATAACGATTTCCAGCTCCAGACGAACCCGATTGAGATCCATATTGGTTGGCACCGCTGAAAAAGGGACTGACTGATGATGATCCTAATCCACCACTATTTCCTCCGCCATACTGGCCTTTGCCTCCATATCCTCCATTTCCACCGTTACTGCTACTAGACCCACCACCACCATATGGTGGTTCAGCAACCACGAATACAATCGACAAAATCAATACTAACGCCCGCTGAAAAAAAATAACAATGAAATTTGGATATAAGTTTTGACTCTCAGAAAAAAAGATTTAAATACAGCAAAAATATTATTTTATAAACTAATATATTTATTAAAATCACAGTGACAATGGAAAATTTGGAAAAAGTACCGGAATAAATATTAGAATTAGAATCATTGGAATTAATTATTAGAATTACATCTATTAATAATAAATTATTAAATATTTTCAAATAAACGTGTACAATTATAATATAGTATATAAGCTTTAGTACTTTTATTGCATTCATTTAATTTTATATGCCAATATTACTTTAGTAATAAATTTAAATAATTAAATCATAAATACTATAATTTATCAGACTCAATGTTCAGTAGTTTTATTTTTACATAATAATAAGATTAGTAATGGAGCTTATGGTATTAAATTTGACCTGTGATAATACATGCTTAAATGTTGTAAATCGTTTTTATTAATAATAAAATTAAAACATCCACAATGTCACTGTATTTTCTCATCGCTTTTCATTCAGTCAATGGTCTATGCAATTATTTTATTCCAAAGACATTTTTTTTAAATGTTTAGTCTTATATTTTAAAATATTTTTAAAATTATTAAATAAATTAACATTAAAATACTGGAATAGATTTATAATTAAAAGTTCAATATACTTGAAATATATTTTGACGTCTTAAAAATATGGAGTAATATCATTTTTTAATTTTGTGTATAATTAATTATCGTCTCTAGGATAAATACTGCACGAATGAGAATGAAGGCATAGTCACTAGTCGTGCATTCCATTAATAAACCTACATAATGTTTTTTTTTTAAATATGACATAAGTAGTATACCCATATTAGAGTTTAAAATATATTTTGAAATCGAGCTCTTTTGTCTTACAACAGTTATCTAATATATTATTTTTTACTACGTACCAGATTTAAAAAAACAAACCTAAAAGGTATCTTTGTTTTATGTAATGTTATATTTTAAATTATTTATAAAAACGTATTTATTAATAATTAATAGGTAGTATATAATATTCTTATAATTTTATTATATTTAGAAAAATTATTTTTTTATTATTCATCATACAGTAGTAATAAAATAATTAGAATTATATAAATGTATTAAAAGTAAAAAAAATACAGTATTCTAATATAAATTAATAATAAAAATCCTCAAAGTTGCAATAAAGTTTGATTGAAAATCACGTATTTCAATAGGTGTCTGATGGTATAAGAATTTACTCAGAGTAAAAAGTAATAATCTACATTAAAATTTATATTTAAATATTATTAAAACATTTCAAATTATGGATGGTAAAAATTTTACTGGTAATTGATAACTAGAACTACAATGATTGGAAAAATCTAGACAATTTTAAAGTGACCAAAAGTACACGTTAACAAAAGTATTATTTACACAATAATTCTTAGAGGTTGTAGCCAAATTGTTGAACTTTGTATTAGGGATATTCCGTTATAACTTATTACGGACACTTATGTTTTGAAAAATAAAACCGATTGTCACTTTGCACAAAAAGTGTGATTATTTAAAGTTATCTTGTGAATTATCCTTATGTTTAGAAACATTATAAAATTATTCGAAAACAAATATCTATATCCTTCGAGCGCCGTCGGGTGTGTATCGAATTTTAAAGTTGAAACGTTTGAAAATATAACAATAATGTTTCGAACACGTACATTTGAAAACGGTCCCGAGCTTGTACTTACGTTCATGTTTCGGGCGAGTGTCGAGTCTCTGAAGACCAGATGTAGTTGAGTGGCAGTCAAGTAACGAGGACGTGACCAGTGATCAGTAGCAGCAGGAGATGGACGATGTAGATCACGACGGTAACTACTATTCACGATCCCAGTGTGTAGTGCAGGTACGTATCGCGGGTGTTTTCGTTCGTGTCTGGCGTGGTAAACGACAGTGCGAATGATGCCGTCTTGGGGTATGGTCGACTGGTATATATACCCCGAAAAGTCTGCCAAAAATCGGTTGGGCAACAATAAAACACCACGGTGGCGTACGCCTATGTCCCCACCGCCAATCACGCATTATTATAAGCAACGTTTTTCTCCCCTATACCGCGGGCGAAAATCTTCTCTTCGCAATGGGTTCCCCTCCTGTGAGCACCTTTCGACGCCCAATAACACACACACACACACACACATATATATACATGCACTGTACAATACACGCGTTATGCACATAATGATTGAATAATAAGTACCTATGTATAGAGATGGTACCTCTCATTTACACGAGTATAGTCGTGATTACGTGTGTGCGCGTGTAGTGGTCTAGTGTGCTGGAGGAGAGGTGAACAAGACGTTCCTCCCTACCCTTAAGACCCAAGACTTACCGTTGTCGTTCCATATTGATTAAGACGTTTATATTTTATTGCGTTCTTAAACTTAATGTACATTTAGTTAATAAACATTTAAAGATACTACATGATATACTTCATGATTTCAATCGTAGACACGATACGTACACGATTTCTACCACACAGAAATGTATTGATTAGAATATTATAATATTGCTGTACCTACTGTTTCAATACATATTTTTTTTAAATTATCGCTTCATCGTGATTATTATTTAGTTTTTCTGTCGATGCGTTTTAGTCTACTAACTGGCGACTACTTAACTTCGACAAAAATCAAAAATAATTTTTAACCATTTTCCTAATAAAAAACTAGATTTACGTTGTATTAAACTAAAGAATGTGTCCACAGAGAATAAGAAAGACATCATTCCTTGAATTTATTTATATCTTGTGTTTGTTGATAAATTTACTAAGGGTAAAAAGATAGAAGAAAATAGAAAATCGAGTACAATACTAAGCTGATTACACACCCAGTGGTTCGAACGCGCGTCTTTGCGCGTTTTGAACGCCGCGATTTTAAAACGCTAACGCGCTTCGCTTACACATCAGGCGCGTTTCTCAAATATAAGCGCACCAATACTTTGTATTTTGTGATATACTAGTCTATTGTTACCGTTCATCGTACATTACCACATGTGTAGTACTTTGCATACTATTATTTCGTTTAATATTTTCAAATATGGAAAATTTAAACGATTTAAAAATCGCATGTGTTATGTTCGCACTAAACGAAGAACATGAACAAAAACAAAAAAGAATAAAAAGGCGACATTGTATTTTCCGGTTAACCTATAAATACTAGAAAATGATTAGTTTTAGGTGATACTTATGACTTTATGTAGTCATCCTGAATAGTGTTTTTTAAGTATTATCGTATTATTCTTCCGTGTCAAACATCTTTATAATATAAATTAATACAATTTGTACCAGTGCATTTTATAAGGAATTTTCACTGGGCGACAAAAAATGTTTTTCTCAAAATAGTCAATGTATAATACCATAGTACGATTATAGTATTACACGTTTATTTCTCATTATTTCGCTCAGAGTATAATCACTGGGCGAAATTTGTGTCGCCTAGTTAACTAGTTAAAAATGCACTGATTTGTACGGATATTATACAAGGTCGAAGGTACAAATTATGAGTAAACGCTAAATAAACGCAGCGCGATCGTGGTGTCCGAATAGCCCGTGTGTTATCAAAAATACGTCAAAAAATTATTGTTTGATTATAATTAAGGAACGTTCAAAATTAAACATGTGCGTTCGAACGCGAGGGAACGTACGTTTTATTTAAGTGTGTGAATAAACCCATTGAAAAGTACATGTTTAATTTCAAGCTATTAATCGCGATGTTTGAAACGCGCATTCGAATCGCCTAGCGTGAAATCCTCTTTAATATACTTAATTCTATGTTATCTTGGGCTTAATACGATCAAATAATTGCTGAGTAGTTATTACACATCACAATATTTTCCAAACTAATTATTAATAAAATATAATAATATAATTTGACTTTGTATACACTTAACGATGAATTTTTAATTGGAAACCAGCTGTATATTACAAATATAATAGTACTCCGGATTAAGCATTTATTTTTTTCTATGTACAAACTGTTTACGTTTATATTAATATAGCAGAGTATGAACCATTTACTATTTTTTATTTATATTATGTTTCTGATCGGTCACAAAAATAGTTCACGAGTTCAGTTCTCTGAAATCGACATCCGATTTTAAATTTCTAAACACATGCCGCAATGCCGTACACGCTAAACCATCATAGAAATAATTGATAGTTTCGCATTTAGTGTTGCGTTTAAAATAGCCTCATAGGTGTGCATCGAGGGGGGGGGGCGGCTTAGCCCCCTAAAACCGAAACTTTATCAGAAATTGTATTCGTTGTTTTTATAATCATCTGTTCGTTTTTTTGAAAATCGTAAAATAAGAAATAATAAAAAACTATTTACTATAGCATTCACAATACCAATTAATTCGGCTACTAACGAAAGAAGTTTTTAGTGCAACGAAAAAATAAAAACTTGGCTAAGGACATCGTTGGTTCAAGATAGGTTCAGCGATCTTTCAATACTATACATTGAAAAAGATGTATCGGAAAATATAAAAAGCGATATATATTTGTCGTTAAAATAGAATATTAATTATTTTTAAATATACGTTATTTAGTGTTTTTTTTTTAATACAATTTAGACATATCTACATTTTTAATAGTAATAAGTCTTATTTGTGCATGGGAAGGGGGTGTAGAAGCGAAGCCCCTGCGGGTTATTTTACATTGAATTATTTTAGCCCCCCCCCCCCACAAAAGTTCAACCAAATGTCCGCCTATGAATAGCATAACCGTATTTTTTCGGATCCGGTGCGCTTTCGGACGGCCCGGCACACGATGATCGTAAGTGGAAATCGCGAAATCGCGGTGGACGTTTTACGGCGCTCGTCAAAAAAAAAAAAAAAAAAACGTTGGTCGCTTACAAAACCTGTTACGGTTTCGGTCGGACCCGTTCTGAAGGGTGGGCGGGGTGGTGGTAGTGGTGCGAGTGTGCCATCATTCAACGTGTTCGTACGTCAACGGCTTTCGCGGTCGGTTCGTGCGCGTACAGTGCGACGGCGAACACGATGGAACAACGATATAATCGGGACATCAAGGCCGACGACGGTCGCCGGTCCTGTGGGAAAACGGATGACACGCGTACACGCATTGCGATTGTCGAGCGAAAGCGCATCGCGCCGTTGCCGTCGACGGCGGCGGCGGCGGCGTACCAGCCCAGAAAAAAGAGCGCCGCGTTGCGCAACACGGCATCGTCGTCGTCGTCGTCGTCGTCGTCGTCGCCTCCCCCCGCACCGGTACGGATCCGTTTTTAAGACGTGTTGAATAACCGCGCTCGCCGATTGAATGGGAAAAACGGCGGCACTCGTTCACTCGTTCGCCGCCACCGCCTCTCATCATCATCGTCATCATCGCCTCGGCCCGTCACCGGACGTGTCGGCGGCGGCCCCGCGGGACGACCGCGTGCCGCACGGAGTTGTGTCATTTCGATCACGCCGGACCCGAGACGACGCGACGGATGATCTAGTTTTAAATGCATCTTCAATAACGCGTTACGTTATTAATTTCGTGTTATCGTTGTCATCGTGTTGTTGTCGTTATTACTACACGCACCGAATAAATCTATTATACACGTATACGTATTATATTTATTGCGTTCGCCGCCGCCGCCGATACAATATAATCATCGTGTACAGGTGCCGCGAACACGCAACGTACCCGTTTACCATTATCGTAACGCACACGTGTACGTGTACACCCGTCCGGGCGTAATTTTTTATCGCCGCACGTTTCTTAATTTTTTTTTTTTTTCTCTTCTTTCCTTTTATTTTTATTATTTCATTTTATTTTTTTCGCTTTTTCATTCGGTCCCGCGCGCGCACTCCTCTTCGCGCCTTCTCCGGTTTTCGAAACGCTTACCGTTATTGTACCGCCCCGCGCGTCGCTGTACGCGCACGCACGTTACATTGTATCATTGTATGCATATTGTACGCGCGCGTTACGAGTGCGCGCCCGCCAGATAATATCATCGTATTTATCGTCGTGGAAGATCCGTCGGACGCCGCGAGGACGCGCGCTCGTTTCATCGTCGGTTCGCGGTGCTGTGCTCGCGATACTCGTGTACAAAACATTGTTTGACCTGTCGTCCACGCCACGTGTTCAAAGATTATTCGGTACGACGATATTTTCCTCGCGACGCGCCGCGATCACGGGGGTAAGAATCGTTTACGGCGCGCGTAGGGGTAGGTAAGCCCCTTCACGTGCGTCTTCTAAGAGCATTTTATCTCGGAAAAATATCCATCTTTTTTTCCTACCGTTTTCGATAAAATTATACACCAGTATATATGTATACACATCTGTTGTCGAATATTAAAATACGCGTTGCGTATTATGTCGTTTGTGCCGGGGGTTGCGAGATATAGTTTTTTGGTTGTTTTTAACACTACTCTATTATTGTTGTTTATACGACCGATCCTTATTGGATAGTCAGACGAACAGTCAGTAAATAGTTGTTGAATGATTCTGAAAACAAATGTTTGTGCGTAAACGTAGTTGGCATACTGAAGTGTACTGCTACAACGTCCAAGTATTTCCTTTCGTCGCATATTCCTATATTACACTAAATATTTCATCGCCTTAACCGATCGAAGTTATATTATATACGAGTACATCGTACGTACTAATATATACAAAGATTTTCTAAGCTTCGTAAAATTATAATTCATAATATAACCCTCAATTATAAATTCTTATTTTAATTTCTAGTACGAATATTAATTTAAAATGTTTAGGTATACTCGTGTCGATTATTATAATTATTATGGAATGTAAGTCATTTTTATATAGTAACGATGCATGAAACATGCAAATGAGTACGAGATCAATAATATAAATGGTGAGTATGATGATTATAGAGATTATCTTATATATAAAAATCTCGTATTTATATAGATTCTATATCAACAGCAAAATTACATTCGT